GTTTGATTTTTAATAATGTTTAATTGGCTTAATAACACATGTTAACACATGACATTGACAACAGCCTGAACATGCTGCTTGGACGCACACATGCACACACTCCTGGTTCTCAGTGACTCTTCCAGGACTGTCAGAGCATCTGTTGACTGACTGGTTGAGCGTCTCACTTCACACAACAGAATACTTCCACATCTAGATATCCTTCTGCTCTGCGATGAAAGAATTCACAGTCCCTCCTCTTGTGCCCTCCAGGTGACTGGTACCATGGGCAGCATGAAGAGCGGACTGCACCAGCACCTCGCGAGACTGGATGAGATCTTCGCCACACGGGGCGACTACGTGCAGACCCTGCAGTTCATGCAGCAGATGGCTGACAATGTGATCAAGCAGCTTTTGGGCCTGCCTGACTGGGAGGAGGTTAAAGTGGACCTGGCATCCATCGCTGATCAAACGGCCAACATAGAGTACTACAGGTGAGGAGCAGAGGATTGTACAGTACAGGGTGGCCAGGGGCTCTGTTGACTCACAATGCTGGTAATGTGCCAGATGTACAGGTGTCAGGCTGTTAAACAGGGAGAGGAAACTGTCAAAATAAAAAGCCACCCAAGTGGATTTTCTTCAAAGCTTACAATGTTTGCTGTAGCCATGAATATCTCTGTGTGTGGTGCACCGAGTATTTTGCAGGAGGCAAATTTTTTCACATGCATTTCTGACATGCAAATTAGTAGAGAACAGTTATGTAAATACAGTTATTAATATCCCTGGAACAAGTTTCTTGTTCATGCATAGCCATCCAGGCAGTGCTACTTTGTGATGCAAAAGAAGCAGGAGTGACATATCACATATTTATGATCATTACAATGCGTAGAAACACTACAAATGAAAGTAAAATATTGATTAATTTGCTTCTTCTTTGCAAGATACTACATACAGTATCATATGTTTTTTATAGCTGCAGTCACTGAACAATTTGTCCATTCAAAACCATGTTAAATACATAATTTGTGTGTGTAGGTTGTTTCATTCTGCATGTTATGACCTGAATATATCACTCACTATTTAGTGGTTGGGATGAAATTATGTAGTTGCACGTGTGTATCACCCACTTAAATGAATATGAGGTCCTTTACACACATGGTTCTATGGGATGTTTAAAAATAGAAGCATCCTATCAAATCCTTAATCACTGCATCAACACTGCGTAGATCCTAATGATTCAGTGCAGGAGTCTTAACAACTACAGTATGTAAAGAACTATTATCTAAGGCCTTGTCACATTATTCCTAAAATCCTACTCATCATTTTAGAGAAGGAAAGGGCTCGCAGAGGATTTTTTTTAGGCTCAATGCTATTTCTGTGGAGTGGCTGGGCTGCTTGTATCGATCCGCAGTGACTCGTCTGCTTTGCCCACATAAATGCATACCAATAGAGTAAGCAGAGTGAGACCAGATAACCAGACATTGTGAGGTGTTAATGGGCTCGTTATGACTCCCTCACTCCAACAGATAGTTTGTGTTTGTTTGGACTTATCAAAGCCTAAGTGTTGCTGTCTCAGTGGCTGGCTGTCTATGTTCAGTCTACTCATCCAGAAATACTTTGGTTACTCTTCAGACTTGCTCCCAGTGTTTGTCATGTGACTCTGCTGGGTCACACAAATCACCAAGCACCGATGCAGATCCTCATTTATTCCAGGAGCTCTTCCACTTTTGTTTTGATACATTTTATTTATCCAGCGCTTTTCATGACACTTTGGACCAGTACTAACAGACTTTTAACCTTGATTTATTCAGGGTGGGTCCACTGACAGGCCACCTCTCTTTTTCAGGAACACCCTGTTCACATTCATACAGTTACACACTGACACTTGGAAGCTGCCCAGTACAACCACAGACTGACCTGTGGCCACTGAGCAGCTCCACTGGAGAGGTTGGGGTAGAGGGCCTTGCTCAAGTGCACCATGGTGGTGTTACTGAGGGTGAGGCAAGCAATGCTTTGTCACCTGGCCCTCCCAGATTTAATCCTGCTGGGCCTCCAGTCACAAGCTCACTCTACACTAACTCCTGATTCCTTCTTTAGTCTAATTATCTAACTTTGATTGATTGATTTATTCTTTCAAGCATGTAAAGGCAGTCGATATGTCAACACACATAATTTCACACATATCCACAAATGCTAATCCATTATCAATTTGCTTATACTTAGTACATGCTTGAACGGAGTAGGAAGAAGTCAGACTTATCCAGTCCTACCCTATAACATCATCTTACCATCATTGGTTTGCAAGCAGTATCTCTACATAGATAATTTTGTTCTACACCACTCAAGTAATATACTAAAGAATTATTACAGATTGTTAACATTCTTACATAATTACATTCTTAGATAATTATCTTCTACACCACACAAGTAATATATTAAAGAATTATTACACAGTATTAATAATCATACACCACACCCACAATGTTCCATCAAATTAATCATTGAGCCTGTTCTTGCATGTATCTTGATACATACCTTTATACTTATATTTAAACTCATCAATTCTATTACTATTTTTTATGTCCACACTTAAATTATTCCATAGTTTTACCCCACTTATGGAAATACAAAATCTTTTTCTTGGTTGTACGTATAGCATGAATTTGTATCCCCCTTCCCTTTCATTAAATAGTTTTTGAATTCCACCAGGTAATAAATTGTTCCTGGCTTTATACATAAACACTGCAGTCTTATATCCCACTAAATCAAAACATTTTAGCAATTTAGACTGTATGAAAGCTACATTGGTGTGATCCCTACATCCCATCTTATGCACAATTCTTATCGCTCTCTTTTGTAATATATACAATGGTTGAAGTGAGCTTTTGTATGTATTGCCCCAGTTTTCAACGCCATACTCTAAGTATGGTAAAATCAATGAAGAATACAAAATG